CCTCGTCTGTTGTTGTTATATTATACAGGTGATTTTCCCTTCTTGTTCATCACGTAGGACTTTTCCCTATTTCGTTGGATGTTTTCTTTTCGTTGTTATATGTATAGTAGTTGATTTATTGCAAATAAACAGAGAGCGATTAAAGGAAAGTTAAGAACCTGTTGGAATTGTGGTGATATATTCGAGGGAACATTGAACCTCACAGTTCCCTATCTGTAGTCAGCAAACTAATAAAAAATATAGCCATCTGTATATGGTCTGCAAGCCACGTTGTTTCATTGTATTTTTTTAAGATTATAACTATAAAAATGTTTATGGTTGAGGAATGTTGTTGACATTGTTAGAGTGAGTTTCTCTTCCTAATGTGCTTTTATTTTATTTTTACTTAACGTTTCGGACGATAATATCGTCCTTCTTCAAAGAGATTGTATAAGATATACGCAGAAGTTTTCTTTACATATATATATATAGTGAAGTACGTTCAATTTCTTTCTTTTTAATTGTTCAACAGTGAATGGTATGGACGATACAATTCATCTTTATCGTACCAGACTATTGTCGTCTTGTCCGTACCACTATAGAACAAATAAAAAGAAAGAAATTGAACGTACTTCACTATATATATATGTCAAGAAAATTTCTGTGTTTATCTTATACAATCTCTTCTGAAGAAGGACGCTATTATCGTCCGAAAAATTAAGTAAAAATAAAATAAAAATACATTACGAAGAGAAACTCACTCTATCAACTATAAAAATGGATAAACAGATGAAGTTAGATGCATTTTTCGTCCGAGTTGAAAAACGTAAATACACAGATTCAATTATGGATACTTCAACTCCATCAATTTCTTCATCAGAAACATGCAATATGTTGTTATCAAACGCTGATGATATGCAATCAATCACACCATCTGAAATTACATCGACGAACAGCATGAAGGTAGTGACACCACCCATTGAGCCGATTACAAATCTTGTTTCTTTGGCACCTACTATCGTCTACCACGACAAAAATGATATCGGTAAGTTATTCATATATTGTACGTAATATAGAATGGGGCGGAGGCATCTGAATGTCAGAATTGTCATATGTACGAAATTATTTAGGATTGTTCGTCAACAGTCGGATCATCGAATTGGATCCATCTCGTGCTTACGATATACTAATAAATCCATGGACACCACCGACATCATATAAGTATTCAAAAGTCAACCTTACCGGTCACAACCGATCGGTGTGTATGCAAAGCTGGCTTAACGATAATTCGTGGCTGTCGTATTCAGCTAAGTTGGGTGGTGTTTTATGCCGTTTGTGTGTACTATTTCATCGAACATCTTCATCATCAGATCATGCCCGCAACGCACTTGGACAGCTCGTTGTCAAACCTCTCTCTGGTTCATGGTTAAAACACGCAACTATTTCTCTTAAACATCATGAACTTACTAAGTACCACAAGTGGTCTGTCACTCAAGCGACTGAATTCACTGCTCGGCATATCAATCCAGAAAAAGATGTTGACTGTCTTTTACGAATTGCAGATGAAGAGCAGCAACAGGAAAATCGTCGAATTCTTCTTAGCATTGTAAAATGCGTGTTTTTTCTTGGAAAAAACAATATTGCATTTAGAGGAGACGATGATGATGGTTTGCCTAATCATGAGAACAAAAGTCAAGGCAATTTTAAAAGCCTCATCAAATTTCGATCCGATTCAGGCGATTCTGTTCTCTCAAATCATATTGAAAAATGTGCAAAAAACGCAACTTATTTGAGTCCTACCATACAAAACGAACTTATTATTTCATGTGGTTCATTCATTCGATCGAAGTTATTAAAAGAATTAGTGGAAAAGAACGGTATTTATTCCATTATTGCTGATGAAACGTCAGATGTTGCTGGCACGGAACAGCTGTCAATCAATATTCGGTATATTTCGACTTGTCACAATATTAAGATCAAAGAGATATTCATCGGGTTTTGTCCTTTAAATGATCTCACGGCAAATGGTATTGCTACAACATTAATCAATTTTATTGAATCTGTTGGGCTAAAGGTGGAGAACATTCGAGGTAATGATTTTTTCGTTGAATTTCTTTCAACTTTAGATTAGCGAGCAAAATTTAGTCAATAAAATATTACTAGGATTTCTCACTTCAGAATTAAGAAAAAAAAGTAGTTTAATTTTGTTTGTCGTTGGAATGTACTAAAAGAATCCAAAATACTACCAGTAATTGGCGATGGCTATTTGTATTCGTGTTTTGAAAGAATTTAAACCTAATTAGGGAATTTTCGTACTTTTTTAATCAGGAAATCTGGTGACACATTTTCAAATTTATCAAAACTGTTTGATTGTTATATATTTTTAGGACAGGGATATGATGGTGCTCCAGTTATGAAAGGTCATTTGAATGGTGTCCGAAAAATTATACAAGATCTGGTAGTACGTGCAATTTATATTCATTGTGCAAATCATAGTTTGGATTTAGTCTTAAAGAACTCCTGCGAGCTTAATATTGTCAAGTGGTTTTTCAGTATTCTGAAGAGTGTGATCAAATTTTTATCTACATCGCCGAAACGAAAAAACATTTTAAAGACTTGTGCAGAAATTACTAATGACGAATCTCGACGAAAAACTTTACTGAAGTTAGTCGAAACCCGTTGGGTCGAAAAACAGTTAGCCGTACTCGTGTTTCGTCAACTCTTTTCAGCTATAATTATTGCACTCGAACAAATTGCCATCGATGGGGATGAAGAGAGTTTTTCCTTATCACGTGGTTATTTAAAATCTTTATTGGACAGTGAATTTTGTATACCATTGATTATTGTCTCGCGAGTCTTCGCTGTAATAAAACCATGTGCTGAACAATTACAGACAACAACACTTGATTTAATCAAATGCTATGAGAGCATTGAACAAGTGGCCATGCATCTCAGCGAAATGATGCATGATGACCAACAAATCAACAAGCTGTACGATGAACTTGTAACATTTACTAGTGAACACAATATTTCAATTATACTTCCTGGCCAATATAAAAAAACAATGAAAGAACTTTTCTCTGATGTCTATCAAACATTTGTGTCGAACACTATAACAGAACTGTCTTATCGCTTCATGGAACATCAGAAAATTATCGTACGCATTTCTCGTCTCATTCCTCTACATGTCGTATCTACTAAATTCAATGAACTCAAGGAAGTAATTGAATTCTATCTCGACGATTTACCTTCGAACGATATGATTGTGATCGAGACAGAAATAGATCTGTGGCGTTCGTATTGGTCTTCACGCTCGGAGCATGACCGACCGACTACTATTGAACAAGCCCTCAAATGGACACATGACATGCGGGCATTTTATCCAAATATCTGGCGACTACTCGAATTGTTTGCTGTACTGCCTGTGACAGTAGCGAATGCTGAACGATCGTTTTCAGTATTGAAACGAATTAAGACATATCTACGTAACAGTATGGGTGACGATAGATTAAGTAGCCTGGCTATTCTCAACATACACCAGTCAATCATCAATGATGATGAAGATAGTATTCAAATTGTCGACAATTTCGTTCGACAGAAACGACGAATTAAATTTAACTAGTGCTTGTTTTTTCTTTTGTTGTTTGTGACTATTAACTCAAGATAGTTTCTGAAAAATAAGTGTTTTTGTTTGAAATTTAATAAAAGAAAACAAAGAAAGAAATATGAAAGAAAACGAAAAAGCTGCATCTAAGATGTTAAGAACGAAAGTATCGATATTGAAAATCGTACGAGAAAGTTCTTTGCAACTTTAGAAAAAAATTTGGATTTGGGCTCCCCCCTTAAAAAATTCCTGGCTACGGGCCTGCCTCGTCTGTTGTTGTTATATTATACAGGTGATTTTCCCTTCTTGTTCATCACGTAGGACTTTTCCCTATTTCGTTGGATGTTTTCTTTTCGTTGTTATATGTATAGTAGTTGATTTATTG